GTGTGTGTGTGTGTGTGTAGTAGTAGTAGTGTGTGTCTGTATATATATATATATATATATATATATATATGTGTGTGTGCGTGTATGCATGTATACTGTAACTAATACATTTGTATCTATTTATTTATACGGGACAAAAGCAAGTCGAAGATATTAGAATGTTCACAATTATCAATATCTACGATTGATACCTATGCGTAAACAAGAGGCGCATTACAAATGTGGTGGTGAATGATGGTCGTTCGACTACCAGGATTATGATTCGGACTATAAACGAACTTGCCCATGTAGTTGTATCCATACTTGTAACTGCGTGTAATACAATACGCGGAACTTAATACATCGCGCACACAACAGCTAATCGTATCAATTCGTAAAAGCACGGACCAATGGCAAGTCACCCAGATACCATGTGCTTGTACTGTCGAGGTTATGTTGAGATACAAGCGCATAGTGTACTACGAAAACTGCACACGCATGGAATAATATCTAATCCTCAATATATAACATACGTGCATAGCTAAGGCGATGTATGAACAACTTATAGAGCGCACATGCGTTCTACACTCGACAATGAGAAAGCGCCTTTTAATGGCGTAGCTTTGAAGTCACTCTAAGTATCAAGAGATACGGGGGTAGGTCACCTGCATGTACTGTCAAGGTCGTCGTCCATTGATATAGGCTTGCGTGTTTAACGCATACGTGTATACAACACTTCGACAACATCGCAAGAGAATCGCTGGTTAAAACCGCACATAAAAGCTAGACAAATGATTATCCTCATCGCCCCTGAACCACTGAACACTTCGAAACGGCACTTACATTTGCTGCAAACCATATCTGCGTTAGTTTGGCAAGTGTATCCTATGTGACTGCTTTACTAGTAGTACTTAAATATAACCTGTTGTATGGCTAAAGGTAACTGAATATAAATATATACGTATATGTGCATAGTCATATTTTTTAAGCTTCAAACGTATACGTTTAACGTAAACGTGTTCTATTTTGATACGGTCTTGAAAACATTGATTAACGTACAAGTGGAGAAGAAAGGGTCGAACCTATTTAGAAATAGTAATTGGACTATAAGCGTAGATGGACATATTGCACCTCAGAACCCAAGTACTGCACCTAAATGAAATATACAGGACCAGCCCAAAATAAACGTTGAATCCGTATTTTTCTACAAATATGACTCATCGGTGTCAACTACCATAGTATTATAAGCCGGCTTTGCTAAAATGCCCCAGTTTAAAAATGCCAGTGAATGTGGTCACGAAGTCACGATATATGTTTTAGTATTTTATGTGTATATATATATTAAATACAACATATATGAAGCCAGTGACTACAGTAGGTGATGCATGGTAGTGAACGATACTGTGTGCACGTATTCGAGACGTAGGAGTATCAATGAGCTCGTTTGGCTCAGTTTCCAATCAGGTTGTAGATCAACGCGTGTTGCGATTGTCACGCCGCAATTAACTACCTCAGGCGTTCTATACGAGTCTGTATAGGTCGTTAACAATATAGAAATCCGTATCAAAGAAGGGTGTAGGTGTAGCTTTACACACATACGTATATATAAATACTCACATAAGTCCTTATTATCTTTCCAATCAGGCCAATAAGAGGTATACCCTACATATTTCGGATACCTATATATGCACGTACAACAAATACGTACATCTTCTGACATTCACCAAATGTTTCATTTCTAAACATACATCAACAATTTACATATAGCTCTGCTATCTGATCCGTGAGCATGGACACTTTTGAGATAAAAACACTGGCGGAGATCAAGAAAGCGAAGGTAAGGGTATTAAAGTAAAATCAGTTTGTCCAAGTATGTGGTTTGATGCTGAATACATACGAGTCTATATGTAGTTATATATATATATATGTGTGTGTGTGTGTGTGTGTGCGTGTGTATGTGTATGTATGTATGTAAATAAATATGTATGTTATATGTATATATATATACGTGTGTGTATGTATGTGGGCATGCATACATGCATGCATGCATTCATGCATACATATATCTATATATGTACTTATATATGTATATATA